GTTGTTGAGCGAGTGCCCTCTTATACATAGGAGACAATTTTATGTGGAGACAAGTCTTGGGTCAACGTAACCAAAAGTCTTTTCGTAAGTCAATGAAATCCCCAGTGGGAAATTCTTTTTTCTCCCCCCTTATGCAGTGTATAATGTTTCTAGCATGTGATATAGCACATTTGTATATTTATTAGGCCTGAAACCAAATTGGCAGGTATGAATATGTTTTGGGAGATGAGATCGGAGTAAGATTCAATTATGAATTAATTTTTTGCAGATTTTTGAGAGAGGGTGAAAGTAGGATATTGTCCATAGTTATTCACCTTGGTGTTGGTCTCCTCCTTTATGGATCGGGGTGACCCTTGCTATTTTATGAGAACTGTAGGGAATGTAGAGGATACAAAGATTTGTTAATGGATTTGTTAAAGAGTGTTGCAATAATAGTGATAGCACTTGTGGGACACTTTATTGAATATAAAGGGTGGTAAGGTATTCAGATCTCCTGTCTTGTTTTTTTAGTGTTGATGATAATAAGGTAGAATTCATGTGGGTTAGTCGGAGCTAGGACAGTGTGTTCGGGTTATTGCACAGTGAGGTTAGTCCATTTGTGGGTAAATCTGTGCTTTGGGATTTTATTGGCAAGGTTTTTTTCCTACAGTGGAGAAGAAATTCATTGAGTCTGTTGCTGTTCGTTTGGTGGGAGTTGGGTTCAATCTGCTTTGGTTAATTTAATTTCGCTATTTCTGTTATCATTTTGTTACTAGAATTTCTGATAGGGTTTTCCAGTCTTTTTTATGTCACCCTCAGTAGTTGATAATTGTTCTCATAATACAATTTTTGCCCTCTTATCAGGCTGGTTAGATATGACGAGTAACGTTTGTATGGTCTCTGTTCTGTGACCCATTCTGTACTGTTTTTTTCCATATTGTGTTTTTGTAATATATGGATTTGAAATTCTGGTGTTAGCCAGGGACTGTTCAGTCTCTTAGCTGTCATCTGTTTTAGTTTTTTTTAGCAGTGCTTGTTATATGAGGTATTGGGTCTTTTTTTAGAAAATTATTAATACATTCGTCAATGTCTGTATAGATTTCTAGCTCACTGTGCCAGTCATGTTTGTTACTGCTGTTGTGAAGTTATTAATTGCTGCCGTCATTGGTAAATGTCTGAAGGTGACTTTAGTAGTGTCTTGGGGTAATTTATTTACCAAGAGTTGTTATGAGGAAAGTAGGGTAGTGGTCCTGTGGTATCTGTGATTATGCCTGTATTTTAAGGGGGATATGGCATTGGACCAGATGTGGTAAGTAGGGAAACACCTAGTCTCTAACCTTTAGGTTGTTTGTTACTGTTGGTAGCAACATGCAGTTACTCATATAATGTGTTTGTGAATTCAGTAAAAAAAAAACGATGTTGGTCCTGGTCTTGTAGTAGATTTATATGAAGGTCACTGAGAGTAGTAATGATCTTTAGTTCATACGTGCCATCAGTTATCGTACATCCTAGTTTTGACTAAATTGGCTAATGATTGACTGTGGAAACTCTGTAGATGGTTATCTATGTGAAAGTTTTTAGAAGGTATCTTGGATTGAATTTTAGCTATTACATTATTCCCCAAGTTCATCCCTTGTGCAAATATTAGTGATACATTCTAGTTTGGACTGATTAAGTATATAGCAGTTCCACCCCCTTGTTTCTGGCCTATATTGTGTATGGCTGTGTAGCCAGGAAATGGCATAGCTCATCAGTAGTATCAGGCCTTTAAGCTAGTTTCAGTTAGTGTAATGATGGACATATTGGCATGCAAGAATTTAGTAAGCTATGAGGTCATCATAATGCTGCTTAAAGATTCTGATATTGTAGTTAAAGAACAGTTATGTTTGTTGTTGGCTCTGAGGAGTGCCTTTGATTGTTCTGCTGTGTAGTAATTACAATAACTGTTTGATTCATTTAAGTCATTAAATACGAGGTTGGTATCAGGATCAATGCTTGTAATCATAAGATTTGTAGTGAATCTATAGTTAGATTTAAGTATAAAACAAAGTAAATATTCTAAAGCTAAAAAATAGCACCTGAGTTATTTAACAAATGTAATAAGAAAATGAGCTAAGGTAGTTTTTAAAGTTAAAATAAAGGGAACAATATAAGAGAGACAAATAATTTGTGGTGAACAAATAAAGTGATGATCAAATAATGGAGCTTGGGAATATGATAGTAGGTAGTACTTTAAAGGTAATTCTTTAAAGTTAGAGTTAGGGAAAACAATATAATTAGTTTTGGAATATAATGGCAAAATAGTGAACTTATTACAATTTAGCACCTGAGAATAGCACCTTGATTATTTTAACAATTGTGAATATATGAACTAGGGTAGTTATATAAAGCTAAAAATAATGGAGATAATATATAAGGGACTAAAATAAGTAATGGTAAACAAAGTTAAATGAACAGATTGTCACTATGAAATAATATTGGTTTTGGAGTAAGATCTGATTTGTAATATTAAATAAGTCGAGTAGTTTATTGCACAATAAAAAGTAAAAAAAATATGAGGTAGTTGGTACTAGTTGGTACTACACCTGGAAAATCCTAGAGGGACTAGTACCGAACTTGCACACGAAAATCACTCACTACGAAAGCAAAAGACTCGGCAGACGATGCACCATCCCCCCAATGAAAAGCAGGGGTGTCACTAGCACGTTAAGAGACCATACAATAAGTGTCAGGGGCCCGAGACTGTTCAACTGCCTCCCAGCACACATAAGGGGGATTACCAACAGACCCCTGGCAGTCTTCAAGCTGGCACTGGACAAGCACCTAAAGTCAGTTCCTGATCAGCCGGGCTGTGGCTCGTACGTTGGTTTGCGTGCAGCCAGCAGCAACAGCCTGGTTGATCAGGCGCTGATCCACCAGGAGGCCTGGTCACAGACCGGGCCGCGGGGGCATTGACCCCCGAAACTCTCTCCAGGTAAACTCCAGCTAGCAAAAGTTAGTTTTTGGGACTTACAAAAAAGTAATTGGAATATACACTAATTGTACACACAATAAAAGGTGACTAAAACAAGTAGTGGTAAACAAAATAAATGGACAGGTAAGAACGATGAATAATGTTAATTTGGAGTAAGATTTGACTTTTAACACAAAATTATGAGCAATTAATAGCAGTAAGAAAGAAGTATAAAGTATTGGAGGTAGTTGGCATTAGCTAGTGATGAAAAATAAAAAAATAATAATTCTCGATATAATAGTAACGTACACTATATGCACCACACGTATATATGTATTAACCCTTTGACTGTTTCAGGCCCCTCTCTGAAACTGTCATTCTACGTCACTCAATTTTTGAAAAAAAAAAATTATTTTTTCTTATGAAATGATAGAGAATCTTTTCCCGATGGTAATGACACCAAAAGTTCGAAATTTGGTCGAAAACTCGTGGAATTATGCTTCCGCGAAGTTAGCGGTCTCGGCGACATATGCGTATCGGCGATTTCGCCGACTTTGAGCCCAATTTTCAGCCAATTCCTTTGTTCCAGTTGAACGAAACTCATAGCTATTTCTTAGAACTTCATTTTATCTATCAGCTGAGTACAAGAAACCTCCCTTTTACTAATTTGGACTACCCAATATGGTGGTCAGAAATTGGCAATTTGGCCAATTTCACGCAAAATAAAAAAGATGCCAATTTCAAAATAGGGTCCAGAATAAACAAGGTAGACATTCGTGGCACTAAAATAACATATGCTCTGTTCATTAGTCACATCTCTAGGCCACTCTTATATTATTATTGCTTTCTATTTTGATTTTTTATCATACAAAAAAATACAAATTATGTTTTCAGACAAGCTTATTGTAAAAATGGTAAAATAATATCAGTGCACAGTGAAAGAATATTAGACCCCCAGTTGACGTGTATTGGACGGTGGG